TTTTGTGTTTTAATGTGATTTCTGTTCCTGTTATCAGTGCTTTGGTCTTTGTCTTGTCTTTTAGGCGTGTATTCTTGCCTCTTTTTCTTCTGTGTGTACTCTTTTACACTTCACTGTTAATTGGGTGTATTTAAGAGCTGACTGGTGGTGCTTTCTTCATTATACCTTGGTGGTCTTGATCTTGTTTCCGGTGGCGCAGCTCCATCCTTTCAGATCCGGCAGAACTTTACACTCTTCACCATCCAGACACGGCTGCATCTGACACCACCACTTCTGCTGGACGATAGCAGCTGCGCACACACACACACACACACACACACACACACACACACACACACACACACACACACAGGTGAATATCTCCAGCCTCTAATGGTCAACATTCATTAATTGCGTTTGTTATAATCAGACTTGATAGAAGAAACACTTTGATTGGCATTCTCCCTTTGTACTTGTCATCAGAGGGGGAAAGCCCCACCCACCAGTGACCCTCATTAGCATAAACAGCCCTGAGTGAGAAGCAGCCATCTATTAGCCATTAGACACAACCATTTGTAGCTCCGCCCACTTTTAAAATCTCATTTGCATTTAAAGCGACAATCACCAAAGCGCCACAAATAGGATCAAAGCCTAAAAGGGTCAGTTTCAGAGAGCTGGAGAACATTATCTGTGTGCAATTCTCAGCTCAAACTTCACACACACTCTAGAGCATCTAGTGTTCACACGTACCGTCGACGCAGGACGGGGCGGCTCTGGTTGTTCCTGCCACCTGTCCTGGGAAGCAGGAGCACTTGACGGTCTGCGAACGCTCCTCGATCTTGTTCTTGTTGCAGCAGCGATGTAAAGACACGACCTCACAGGTGCCCGTCCGCACCTCAACAACTGCACACACACATTAACACATACTCAACAATGCACACTTATAAGCACACTTAATACTGCACACACATACACACACAATGGGGGCCGGCATCCTGACTTTTATCCTACCCATCAGATTATGCTACCAATATTTGAATGATTCTGAGGTTAAGGTAAGGAGATATTAGAGCTTCATATCACACCACTCCTCAGTAGAATTACACTGGTAGTGAAATCTGATGTGTAGCATATTGCATCATCAAAATAAGCCACCTACTTTTTGAATGGAATGTCGGATAATCTGAAAAGGTAGGAGATATTGAAAGAACACCGGGTCTTTTAAACATTCAATACACAGGGTTCAACAATATGGACTGCCCGATGGCCCGGGGTCAGTGTGAGAGACGCTTGGGACAGAAGACGGGATCATTACTGGCCCGATGGCAGCCACCTTTGATTAAATAATTTCGAACTGCAATAAAATACCTTCACATTTTCCATACTGCTCTTTTTGTTTTGTTAACACAGAATTTTGCTCATATATTTATTAACATCTTTAAATGTAATTTAAATACATTATTAATGCTTAAATAATTATAGACATTTTTTTTTACATGTTATTAAAAATATGTGGCTAAAAAAATTGCTATTAAATTAAATTTTTTCTTTGGTGGGGTAAAAATCAGAACCATTGTTCCAATCGGACCAGTAGAAGAAATCCTTAACGTTGAATCCTGATATTTATCTGCAATAATTCCAATAATTCCACACCGTAACCCACTAAGTATTATTAATATTATCATTACACTATTATTATTATTATTATCATAGCTATTAAGACTACTCTCTTCCCCACACCCACTACATTGTTTATTCATACCTTCATTTTCTTTTCGACCTAGTCTCTTTATTAATCCACGGTTGCCACAGTGGAATGAACCGTCAACTTATCTAGCATATGTTTTACGCAGCGGATGCCCTTCCAGCTGCATCCCATCACTGGAAAACATCCATACACACCCCTATAGCGCATTTGTTTGGACTGTGGGGGAAAGCGGAGCACCCACGCCAACACGGGGAAAACGTGTAACGGAGGCCAGCGAGTAAGTGCTGTACAGGTAAACCTCACTCCTCTGCTTCCTTATTAGACTCCCATGCGGAAGGTTGCTGGTCCGATCCCAGCTCGGAGCGGGTTGGGTGGTGCTGACACTGACAGGACTAGAACCAACGACCTTCTTGCTATGAGATGAACGTGCTACCCACTTCGCCACCGTGCAGCCCACTATTATTATTTTTAGCTATTACTTCTACTCTCTTCCACACCCCCACTATATTCATTATTAACGTTATTATTATTATCATTACCTATGTACCTGTTTAAAATACCGTATCTAAATATTTATATGCATTCATTGTATACAAAAATAAAATATAAATAAATGACTAAACAAATAAATAAAATGTAAATGGAAACAAACAAACAAACAAAAGCATTAAATCAATGGTCTCAAACTGGATTCCTGGAGGGCCGCAGTTTAGCTCCAACAGCTCCAACTCACACCTGCTTAACAGTCTCTAGGAGTCTTGAACACCTTGATTAGTTGGATCAGCTGTGTTTGATTATGGAGCAACACTGCAGCCCTCCGGGAATCCAGTTTGAGACCTATGCATTAAATGAAACCAACTAAAACTAAACTGAATGTGAACAGCCGAGTTAATAATAGTAGAAATGAAAACTAACGTAAAAATATAAGACTCTTATAACCTTGGTGGCTGAGCTGGTTATATTCTGACTCCAGCTGATTAATTATTTACACACTGTACTGTGCTGCTCTTTTAATTGCTGCTGACATTTCTGTGCTTGTATGTGTGTGTGTGTGTGTGCGTGTGTGTGTGTGGTAAACAGCTAATTAAGACTTTGTATACCACTCTCAAAGCTTTTCTAATTAAAAAGTGTGTGTGTGTGTGTGTGTGTGTGTGTGTGTGTGTGTGTGTGTGTGTGTGTGTGTGTGTGTGTGTGTGTGTGTTTGTGTGTGTGTGTGTGTGTTTCTGATACTGAAGATATCTGCTGGATCTGGGGACATCGGTGAACAAGAAATAGAAAACAGGAAACACACTGCTGTCATTTGATTGGTTCATGTGATCAAACTGATGCTAATGAGAGCAGAGAATGAATGAATGAGTTCTTCCTCAGTGTCTTTGGTGTTGTTTTGCTGGACGGATATCTAAAACGTTCATAAATCAGAGCTAATGATCTAAAACTATTGAAGAATGCAAGTTCAAAATAAAAATGCAATTATAACTATTGCCTTAATAATATATGCAATATTCATATCGCAGAAAATGGTGTTAGTTACAGTAGTTGTAGCTGCTGCACGCATAGGTTCTTTATCCAAATCTGACCAATCAGATGAGGCCTTTCCTATCTTTAGCCCCGCCCCAGTAGGTGTTGTTGAGAAATATCAATAGTATCTGGATGCATGATGCATGCTGAGATTGAATGAGATGCAATGTCAGACACAATGCCCTATGGAGCTAGTGATGTCACTGTGAGGGGTGGGGTTAGGTGAGCTCATTAAAAAGCATTGCATGCAGCTCTGATTGCATCTGCACCAGGTTTGCATCTAGACCCCTCTCAGAAATGGAGCTGATTATAAACACTGATGCAGAGGAAAATCACCACAGACAATCTCAATCTGGATTTATGTCGAGGTTCACACTCTTGTGGTGTTTTAAAGTCTAAATGTCTGCATCTTGGCATAGTTTTTTAGATTTAATTAGCTTCATTTCAGAGTGATCATTACATTTTTAAATTGGTGATTAAATTAAGTTTTGCATGTTAGGTATATCAAAGAAATATGGTATTTGGTAAATATCTTCTTAAAAAAAGATGGTTCATCACAACACTCAGCAGCAATATTGCATATTTTCTCAGCATCGTGCAGGACTAATAAAAACATCAAAATATTTATTTTTAATAAGAATATGGTGAAAAACATGTGAGGAGGAAGAAACTCACTGTGAAGCTCTGTGGAGTGAGCTGAAGATCTCAGGAGAAGCAGAAGCAGAAGAAGAGTCTGAGAGAGAAGCAGAAGAAGATCTCGGACACTCATCCTGCACACACACACACACACACACACACACACACACACACACACGGAGTCAATTAGTTGGACATCAGTAACTAACTTTATCAGTGGGTGTCGATGAAGAAAAATGTATTTTCGCATTTGTAGAGGTATGTACACACACACACACACACACACACACACACACACACACACACACACACACTTCATTTAACATTTATTATTACTACAAGTAAACTTGAATTGAACACACACACGCATACACACATACACACACACTACATCAGACATGTAATACTACAAGTAAACTATAACTGAATTGTGCACATACACACATATGCACACACATGTTGGTATTTGTGATTTACGAGGACTCTCCCTCCATATTTCCCCCTTTTCAGCTTCTCTCTGGAGCTGACAGCATCCACAGATAACCAAATTTTTTTTTCCTTTTTTCTGATTCACTTAACAATTTTCACACTCCTTGTTCTCCTCTTCAATGGTGCAGTCTCACCCCCTTCAATTCACTCTGATAACTTATAAAAATAACTTATGATAATAAAAATTATGTTCAATATATTCAAACTTATTACTCTAAACACTCCCATTAACTTTCAATCATCCCACAGTTTCATTTTCACATCTTATACACTTTATCAGTATAGGTGAGGTTTTGTTTTTCCTCAATAATACAAGAATTAGAATAATAAAAATGTAAACAAATAAATAAAATTAAAACTCTCTAAAAACATCAAAAAAATTGACTAAAAGGAAATCCACACCCATGAAAATATGCTCCAATTAAAAATATCAACATATATGATTAAAATTCAACACTTGTAAAAATATGATTAGAATTGAAAATTGTAACAATATAATGTATAATATACAGCAAAAAGTGCTTATTATATGGCCCTAATCCAAACCAAACCCTCACAGCAAACCTGTGCACAATATTGAATATGAAAAATATGAGCATTTTAAGCATTTTAAATTAGAAGAACACAAGACATGTCCTCATAAACCACAACAATGTTGTAATACGCATGACACACACGTTTCCGTCCTTGAAAACCACACAAACCAGCACACATAACACACATCATTGAACATGTATCATTACAAGTAAACTTGAATTAAACTGAACACACACACACACACACACACACACACACAGACACGAGTGGGTCTGGTTGTGATCATGTAAACGATCTCGCTCACACTGCTGGTAATTACTGGCAGCCCGCAGGATCATTTACACACAGATTATGAACTGATATTCACCTTCTATATTCCATTACGGAGATGCTGGATAGGCCAGCGCTTCTCTCCTCATCCGCATTAGGATTGTGGTTGACAAACCAGAGTTATAGATCAGCCAAGACATCCACACACTACAGTCACACACACACTATACACATATATAAAAACACACACCCAAAAATACACACATACTACACATAAACACTCTACACAGGCACACCTGCACTCATTCATACACACACACACACACACACCTATAAGCTCTATGGTAATACACTGTTAGCAGCACCAAATCCAGTCCCACACAGCTTCTGGTTTTAATTAAGGGAGTTTTTACCAGCTATGAAACTGTATTTGCAGTATTTTAGTTGCAGAATCACAGTATAATGACCGAATTTACAGTAAAATTACAATATTGAGGTCTTAAACCTTTCAAAGTGCAAAGATATTTGAAGTAATTGTGCAAATATGAACATGATTTATACGCAGCCGATTGTCCTTGTTTATTAAATCTGACTGTGTTTACTGTTCTCTGTGTCTGTGAATAAAGCAGACAAACACACGGAGGTGTAATGTTTACATAAACTATCAATTCTCCAAGGTGTGACCTGCTTCTTGACATCACGCATTAACATGCAGACCCTGAGCGCTATATTGAGCACTAACTCAGACAAACATTTCTCTTGATTTCATACTAATAAACGCTGTGTAATTGCTCTCAGGCATCTTCATGCAGTATCACCTTGGGACTGCGGTCAAATGACCTTATAAAAGTCTTTAATTCGAGCGCCGGAGGGAGGAACGCAGACGCGTTTTCTCATTAAGAATCTGTCAGAGAGGAGCGGGCCGTTTTTTTTAATTGTGTTTTATTCTGAACGCTCTTCATGTTTAATTCAGGCCTTTGTGTTGTACTGCGGACCCTCAGGACATCTGCATAATTCATGCGCAGAATGGCCAGAACAAGAGAACACGCGTCACAAAAAACAGTTTGTACGACTGCAAACATTAATAAACTCTGATGCATCGGCCGGATGAATTATTAAAGGTAAAGTCTGGTTAGGAATGAGGCTGTGGTGCGAGGCTCATCTCGTTCATCTTCATTTGCATCTGAGACAGAATCAGGATTTTCTGAAGCTGTGTGGAGTGTGGAAAGCTGAAGATCTGCTCATGTTTCTCCAAAACCAAAGTGATCAGCAGAGCCATTATTGCAACCCAATCCTGCTGTTTGCACTGACAGAGAGAGGAGCTTCAGCTTTCATTACTGCTCCTCAGAGTGTCACTGCAGGGGGGCGACTGCTGAGGAGGTTTAAAGGAGACCCTATTATCACCCTTTATCCCAGATGTAAAGTAAGTCTCTGATGAGTGTGTGTGTGTGTGTGTGTGTGTGTGTGAGTGTGTTTGAGCTGTCGCTTTAAATGCAAATGAGATTTAAAAAGAAGGCGGAGCTACAAAAGGCTGTGCATCACCATAGCGACAGATGTAAAACAGCACTAGTGTTCTCAGAGTGAGTCAGGGCAGATGTTGTCAGTGTCTTGTCTTCTCCTCTCTTTTTCTTCTATGTTCTCCACCTCTTCTTCTGCATCTTTTTCCTCCTCTTCTCCTCCTCCACCACTTTTTCTTCTCTTCCACTTCTTTTTACCTCCTTCTCCTCGCTCCTCCTTTTCTTCTCCTTCACCTGTTCTCCTTCTCTTCTCCACTTTTGTCTTATCGTCTTCTCCTCATTTTCTTCTCCTCCTTTACTTCTCCTCTTCATCCTTTTCTTCTTATCTATTTCTCCTCCTCATTTTCTCTCCTCATTTTCTCCTTCTTCTCCATCTTCCTCATCCTCTTTTCCGGCTCCTCATCCTCTTCTCCTCCTCCTTTTCATCCTCCTCTACTTCTTATCATACGGTTTATCCTCCTCTTCTTCTCCTTATTTTCTTTTCCTCACTTTCTTCTTCTCCTCTTCTCCTGCTTGTTTTCTCCTTCTCCGTCTTTTCCTCTTTTTCTCCTTATACTCTTCATCCTCATCTTCTCCTTTTCCTTTGTCTTTTTTCATCTTTTTCTCCTCCTCTTCTTCACCTCTTCCTTTTCATCCTTCTTTTTATCTTCTTCTTGTCCTCCTCATTTTCTCCTCCTCATCTTCATCTTCTCCTCATTTTATCTTCCTCCTCCTCTTTATCCTCCTCTTGGTTTTCTTCTCCTCTTCATCTTCTTCTCCTCCTCCTCGTTTTCTTCTTCTCCTCTTTATCTTCATCCTCCTCTTGGTTTTCTTCTCCTCCTCTTCATCTCTTCTCCTCCTCCTCGT